CGAACATTCCAAGTAAATAGTTTAAGCAAAAATAACCTGCAGAGGGTGGCTGGAACGGGAAAATTAGGACAATCTGATCGATCAAGAAGTCGGGGTTTCAAAAATAAAAAACCTAAATATTTCAGTCATTCTCCATAAACTCGGCCAATTATGCAACCGAATGCAGTCCGAAAAACGCATCGACAATGAATCGATGTGAATCAGCATTTCGATTCGGGGCAATTATCCACCAGGCCGGTTTTGCCAGTTCCACAAATTATATTACAATGGAAACATCACGTTTTTCGCCACCTAAATGCGATATTGTGGCAGTGTGCACGCCAAACTTCCGTGTTTTGCGGGAATTATTGAATTATTTATAGACGCCCAAGAGACCGTTAGAAGCCGAAAAAATCTAGCGGAAGTGACTAAGAAGCACTTCGATAGGAAGTAGGGAGCAGCCAGAAAAATCAGCAAATGCTCGATGGAATGGAGCATTTGAAAATACTCTCTGAAAATACAGGAATTAATTATACAGGGTGATTCAAAATTGGCGTCATCCCTCTGGGGGTGTTTAGGGTGTAGGTACAGGAGAAATAGCAAAAAATCATTGTCATCAAATACACAGGTCAGAAGGTCTCTGTTGAGGTAGATATGTTTGGGGAATTGATAAAATTATACTTGATTTTATTGGAAAGTGCTCGATTCGAAAATACCCATCCCGTCTCATAATATTTTAGGACTTTCCTCCTCACGCAAGATGCTACAGTTCAGTCCTTCCTTAAACCTTTTCTTTAGAATCAATCAAAAGCACTCAAACTTAAGCAAAACTTCTTTGAAAGTTTCAGTTTCATTCTCCGGTTTTTCGCAAATTTTCCAGTTTTTCTGCTTTGCTCATCGCCTATTCAAGCACCTTACACACCCATCATCGACCACCCAATATCCCAACTTAAATAAGCAGTTGCCATGTTAGTTTTACAACTCCCCAGAGTTGGAGAAGTGTAACCACTTTTAGGTGTAATCGCCACACCGAAAAGGTGTGACATGCTGCTGTTCCACCCAAATATGGACAATCCGAAGCCCATGCTGGTAGGTCTTGATTTCCCGGGTGTTTGTTAAGTGGCGTCCAATGGGACATTAACATAAACGATTCAATTCAGCAGGTTGCTGCCAGCGAAGCCGCTCCTTTCCGTGTCGATTTGATCAGTTTTCGATCGCTCCAAGTGAACGATTTAGCCCCATTTTTTAGTCGTATCGTTTCAATAAAAACCGCGTAATTTCAGCAGCGAAGGTTTACCCAATTCCGATCACGACTGTTCGTAAATTTCAGCCAGGTCAAGTGCAACGGATTTCACTCCTAGTGGGGAATTGCCGAAAAATCTCATTAACCGTGCGCATTTATCGTGTGTGTGTGTGTGTTAACCGGCATCCTTTTAAGGCGTTCGACACCGCATCCGAGGCGGCTTAATGGAGTAGGATTGGTGGCTTGTCAAACGCAAACGACCGCTATAAATTGTGAAAAACACGCTTTTGGAATAAATTAGTGTTTTTACAGGCATTGGCGTCGTTACACTGATTTGTACAAGGCAGTTTTTCACTTGACTACAATTTGTTTTTCTTGTAAATACCCATCTAATCTTAATGGAATTGTTGTCGAGTTGAATTAAAATCTGCCACAGCTTTTTGCAAAAAAATATGTTTGATGCACATAAAAACAGTCGATGATGGTGGTGCCACTKTGCGCRTTTTTGGAACAATTTTAAGTGTAAGYATTGTTTCTGGAAGACATCAAGGGCTCAATTCTCCGAGAAGGCGATATTCCTTTGAAATTACAATTTTGCCAATAGATAAGTCAAAACAGACGATTGTCTGAATGCATTTTATTTACGGACGAAGTTTCGWTCAATTTTCTCCAGATCGAAGTAMCAATTGCTTKWRTWATMATCGATGGTCAGAGGAAMATCCCCATGCCACCATAGAACAAAATTTTCAGCGTATGGTAAATGATCAGTTCGTTCGTAGTGGATAACTTAAACTTCGTCTTAACTTAACCGTTTTTTTCTCAAATGAGTCATTTTTTGTAAATTTCAAGTCCATTTTATTTACGTCGATATATTTCTGGGCCTTGTGTCTGAATAATTGGAAAACTATTTTACTTTAAAAAAATGCATTCAAGTTTGGACTCTTTTGAATAAAATAGTACAATCCAAATATAAAATAAAAAAAAAAGTCCAATATAAAAAATAAAATTTTAAATAAATTAAATAGGTTTTTTATCAATATTTCTTCGTTTAATTAAACTTAAAATACTTTAATCACCTTCCCAATAGTTAACATACGTTTCCTTTGTTCTCGGAATGTTTTGCACTTTAAAATTTCGGTGTTTTACAGCCTCAAAACGTTCCCCCTACAGAGTACCAGACCTTAGTGCGATCTCCAATTTATTATATGCACCCTGTATATATTGTACAAGGTGTCTCATCAGCACTCGAAAGAACTAAGGCAGACGATTAGTATTACATTTTAATCTGAAAAATGCCTGGATCGTTTGCTATTGATGGTCAAAGTTCTTGAACAAAAGTTAGGATCGAGGGAATCGTAAAATACATTTTCAGAAGCTTCATATTATGATGAAGCAAGTGGTAAATTATTGACTGTCTTGGTACAAAAACTTGCAGAACTTTTTCGTTGGTAGATAGAAGCAATACATTTTTACTATTAACCTTTTCCCAATATTTTGGTCCTCTTGGAAAAATCTGGTAGCATTCATAGTTTCTGAGCAAACCAAACTTTTTATAATAAATTAATTGTTAAACCCTTATTGTCAAGCGTCTTCTAACTGAAGAGATGTGGGATATGGTTACAAAGGCTTTTTTCTTTGAGAAACCGTAAAGGATAAAATGTAGGCCACATTTGTAGAATTATTACGTAGGATTCGAACCGAGACTTACGTAATACGAAGAATCCAAAAATCAAATTAAATCGCTGTATTCAACATTTCATCCAATAAAAAGCACATTGGAATCGGTCGCTTATGGGATTATTATCCAGTTTCGATGGAGAGTTGTGTCTTTCGTGAGTTTTTATTATTTATAATTATATTCTTTATTTTTGCGGCGTTGTTCAAAATTATTTAATTAAATAAAGGGGAAGAAAACAAACTTTTTTTGCGCGTATACTGTGAATACCACATTATTTTACAAAGACTGCAAAGATTTTACGTAACCGCATTCACTAAACAAAATAGAAGTGAATCCTGTTACCAAGAAAAGTTCTGCAAAAGTTTCAACTAACACACTAAATAATTTACCGGGCCCAAAGCCGGGAGACGCCGAGGCTTTGGGCAACCAAATCAAAGGAAAGTTTCTTTAAAATCGTTCAAAAAATTCTTCCAACTACTATTTTGCTATTTTGATCCTGTGCATACGAGAGACCTTGTATACAGCGTGATTAAGGAGGAAATGAAAATATTTTAAGAACATGTGTTAAACAACAAGTTAATGTAAGCTCACATTTTATATAAGATGATCTTTACTTGCTTCAGAGAAAATAGCAAAAAACTATTAGAAAGCAGATAATGATGAAAAAATAGAGCTAATTTATCACAAATTGTCGAAAAGAGCATTTCTTGTGCCCACTTTCGTAGCATATAAACCACGACTTTATCAATCCCCAACGACAAAAGCCTAGTGGAGTTAGATCTGGTGGGCTCGGTGGCCATGGGTGCAGTTTGTCTGTGCCAATTCAACAATCGCCGAACTCTGTAATCCGGGAATTTTCAATATTATTAGAAAAATGAGGAAGAGCTCCACCATTCTTAGTCAAATATTTCTTCTAAATGGTCTTCCGAAAAAATAAATAACCATCTGGGTTAAACAGTGCGACAATGATTTTACGGGAATAGAAAAAATTGAACTATTCTGTTCAGATAAAAATTATAGCAAATAAAAAAATAATAAAAATAAAATAACACATTGAACTCGAAGGGTGAGCTTAAAATAATAAAATTCACATAAGATAAACCGTTACAACAGGCTTCCATAATCAATATGTAGAATCTGAGATTCAAGCAGTAAAAAAATCGGTGAAACGAGCCAAGGCGTAACATTGCTTGGATGTCTTATAGCGCAATCTTGTAAAGTATAAAAAGTGTTTTAATAATGTGACAATTTTCCAAGAACATCTCCTAAAAAGTGGTCAACAAAAAAATCAAAGTCTGTACTTTCACAAAGCGAGGTCAGTGTTAAAAGGTCCTCGATACAAAAATCCAAAGATGGAATTCGCAGCAGAAAGTTATGAAATGGCGCCCTTTAAATGCAGTAGCAAAATGCAAAATCTTCCGCTACACGAATTTTTCCTGCTTACTAATCGCGCATTTTTTTCTTAAATAAATCCCCAAGCATTTGTCACTGACACCGTTTTTTCACTCTCGATTGCGTAGGTGCACCGTTCCATTTCAATAATTGGCCTTAATCTCCTTAGCGTGTGACGTGTCTTTGCACGTTTGGCAGGTTATTAATGGCACTACGATCGTGAGAAACCCCTTTAGTCAAAGGTTTTATGGCCATATCATTATGTCCGCTCCTAATATGAACAAGAACAACCAGTCACTTATCACTTAATAATTATTGTCTAGTGTCTCGATGGTTCATGAATGAGAAATAAGCGAACAAAAAACCAACACAACTCGAACGAAATCCATCAAGCGGCCTGAACAATAACAAAACTGCATATTCTACAAATGCCGTTATCGGAATTTGTTGAGCATTACAAGAGATAACCGAACAATGCCACACAGTATTATGAGAACTTATTGGGGTTAAGCGCGATAACATGGGAAAATATGGATTCTGGAAATGTTAACTGTGTTTTCTTTGGATTGGTAGCTATACAGGTGGCGGCGTCCCTACGACTGGCCGGATTTAACACCGGGCGATTTAGTGGGATTGATAAATTATCAATTTTCTTATATGGGCAGTGGCAAACCCAACGACCTTATGGGCGAATTTATAATGCCTTACCTTTTTCAGATGCTTGTTGACCCATTTTGTAAATGTCTTCTTTTGGACGGCGTCACGTTCGTCTGCAAAATAATAAAAACCGCGTGTTATTAACAAAATCATGATTGCCATCTATTTAGTTCATTATCGAAGTAACTGGAATTACTCGGGGGTAAGTAAATAAATCAGTTGCTTTGAGGTAAGTTTGATTGTTTGAACATTTTCTGCAATAAATCACAGGAAGTTTCGACTTCAAAGTATGTTGAATCGACGTGTGATATTATAAAAAAAACGCTTAAAACTCTTTACGAAAATGTGGCAGAATTTAGGTTTGGAGATCCATAGTCAGTTAAAAATTTACGTTGATATTTGGAACATCAACCAGAACAGTTCCAAAGTCAGGCCAAAAAATTGCAGGCAAAAAACCTAAAGACTATACATTTCTGATCCTGAACAACAATTAGAGCCCATTTTGAACGGTCTCGATGTGTAATAAATGAAATAGAGCTAAAAAAATTCAGGCTGTTTATTTTTTAGTTTTTTTGCGCAGCAAACTTTTGATTTTTTTAATTTTCCTACCATTTGGTCAGTTTTATAGACGTGAACTTAATAACATGAAAATCGTTCTCAGCTTCTCTGTAGCCAAAATTTCTACAGTTCGAAAGTGAAGAAACGCCTTTTTAACCGTACAGGGTACGTGCAGGTAAGATACAGGGCACGACAAAAAAAACATACTTTTAGTGAAACGAAAATTTTGCAAAGCGCTGAAATCCATCTGGGCAATTTAAAATAAATTTGCAAAACGTCTGTGCACTAATGGTTGGCCGTTTTTGTACAATAAAATGCAAGTGTACAAACGAGCCTAAAATCAACACAGAAAATCGGTTCTTTTCCTTTGGCAATAAAATTGTTCAAATTTTTAAAACCGGACTTAAACCTGCGATATGCAATGAAAGGCGCGGCCATTATGATAATTAAATAAAATATCCCATAGAAACTAGGCAGACAATTTCGAGAATTTGTTGCTAAAACGTTGTTCAGCTGAACATTGCTGTTAATCATTGTGAAAAATTGATTGATGGAGAACAACCTGATTATTTCTCTCTCTGAGTTTCTTTACGTCTTCTATCACTCAGAACTCATAAATTGATGAAAATGATTTTGGAGTGAACCAAAAAATAGGTATAAATAAAGCAGGAATTTTGCCAATTTTTGCATTTTCCGTTAAACATTTTTTCCTTTGGATGTAATGTAAATAAAGTTCCTTCATTCACTCCCTTGGCTGGGAAAAGCAAAGAAGAAGCACTTACTTTTCACTTAAGTAAATGTTAAATCAGCAGTCAAAATTCTCAAAAAAAAAGAAAATGAGGGAATTCGTTGAATGTTGGAAGGAGTGAAGTCTTCCAAATTGAGCTTCGGAAAGTTGCTTTGAATTGAACCGGAAAAAGTTAAATTTCACATTTTTACAGTACAATTAATTAATTAAGTAATCAATTGAGATCCTTAACAATCCACAATATTAGCTTACAGCTCCAACTAATTAACAACAGAAAACAATTAGCGATTTACAAAAATGTGTTGTTTTCGTTTCTAAGAACCAATTTCGTACAGACAAATCCATTCAAAACCGCCAGTCTTAATTGGGAATGGCAATTAGGCAATTCCAAGTATTTGCTAATAAGCTTTGCGTTAGAAATCGGACACCAAATATTCATATGGATTCACATTGTGTTTTGGGATGGACAATTTCCTTCGTCTCGCCGTCTATGCAACGAAACAAAGAACGGATTTAAATTTTTCGATTGAAAAAAACAGTAGCAGCTGAAGATCAACGAAACTTTCCGTACCATTAGAGCCGTAGAGAGAAAATTTCTTTCAGCGAAAAACAAAAGAGTTCCTGATGTATTTTACATCTGCGACGATGACAAAAATATTGGAGGAAATAAATTACCGGTTTTGGCAGTGTTATTTTCAGGTCAAACCCAGCTGTTGAGTTGTTGAGAGCTAATAGGGAGGAAATTGGTCCTGGAGGTGCCTGACACTAGAACATCTCAAGATCCCAATCAACATAAGCATTCTTTCTATTCAAGAGTAGGTATTTAAAGCAACTAAAAGTGAGCGTCGAAAAATTGGCGAAATCACTTGAGATATCGACAAAAATTTGAAAACAACTGCAAAAAAACAACAGCGAAATGCAATTAAACATGTAAAGAACAATGTTATTGCCTACTATTTATTCACCGCTTGATTAAATGAATTTTTTTGCTTCAAAACGAGCACGCGGTTACGTTTACAAGCAATGTGTTAATTAAACAAAAAGTTTTCACTTCGATTCCTATATGAAAAAACTTAAAGTTCTATTAAAAAAAATCGCACTTTTACTTAACTCAAGTACGAAAGTAAAACCCATCAAGCTCAACAGCCCAAACACTTTGTATTTTTGAAATCATCGAAGGATAAAGAACTAATAGCCGTTTAATGGATAATCGTTTTAGTGTTGGGACGTACACAAGTGCATGCAATTAAAATAACAGGCACGGCGCTTAACACTTCTTGCAATCAGCTTTACAGGCTCCAGACCGATTAGCTAACAGCTGAGTGGAGCTGGCTGGATTACAGATGGCTTTCGCCAGTTCAAGTGATTCATTTTGTAGCTGAAAAGGATCGCAGCACCCATAAAGAGTTAAGTGCCATTATCAAAGTTTCCCAAGAGTTGATAAATCCGATTTGAAAACAATAGGGATAATTATGTGGCCGGAGGCCCTGAGAACGAAATTAATTAAAAAGCACACGAACACAAAGTGGCATCGTCTGCTTTGGTGAGTTAAGTTAGTCAGCCTAAAGCACTGCAAACACCATGCCAAGGAAACATTAAAACCCACCACCGTACCTGAAGTAGCCTGAATAAATAAGTCCCATATAGTACCTTTGAATTTGGTAAGATTCTCCTCATACCCATGGGGCGCCTCCCCAGTTTTCCTGTATTTTTCCGGGGGAGCGTCGTTGTAGATCGACTCCCTGGGGTCGAACCCCAGCTTCTCCTTGTAGTAATTTTGGGTCGACATCGTTCACTTAACACATCGGTAGCACTTCAATTTCTCTTATTCTTTCGTATAAAAACTAGCTTAGAAAAAATACAATTCGTTCGGTGTTAAACAGGGACTTCGCCAGAAAATCACAAGTTAACCCGGTTTAAGTCAAAGTCTTTTACGGAATGTATCGTTGATTATATCGCTGATTTCGTTGCTTGTCGTTAAATCTACACTAGCACAAATTCACCGCGAAAATCTAAAAAAGAAAAAACATTGCACGATTAGCGGATTTTTCACTTGCTCTTGGGCTGCCAGTGTTGAGGAGTCGGAGTCGCGCAAAACGAAATTGTTGTAGATTTACCGCAATGTACCGCAACATGCAATCCGAATGCTAGAAACTGCTTTGCCAGATAATTAAAAATCAATTTCCTCAACCCGTAAGTGCCTGCTCGTGTTTTGCTTACATTCCAGATAAGATTTCGGAGCACTTACAAAAAATTCAGTAGTTGAAAACAACAGACCAAAAAAATGTATTGACAAAGCCACTTTCTTGACTGATCAGTCCCCATATATAAGTCCAAACAGGGCTTTCGAGTAGCTGATTGGTCACGATCAGCGGTTTCTATGGAAACCAACTGGGGCTTCGCCCTTAAAATACAAGGACCGACCACAACGTAACAATGACCCACTCAAAGTGAGTCATCAACAGCATCACAAAATCTGCATTACTTAATACCTGACGCAAAACATCAATTGATAATTACAATCACCACCGTGTGTACGAATGACTATCGTGCTCTCCATCATGCCTATATTAAGGATCGCCTCAGGCAAAGATATTCGTCGCTAATTCCGTTTACTATCGATCATTTCCAGGTTATTGCTTATGTATGAGTTTGGTGAATTTTTAAGCATGACGAAGTTCAAACATTTACAATTTGTGTGGCTCGTCAATTGGGTAACCCGGTAAAAGCAAGCCCAAATGTGGACATACGATGGGTTCAGCTAGTTCAAACAACGATAAACCGGGGAACATGCGAGTTGGGGTTTTGGCTAACTTTATCGGAACTTTGTCATAAATCAATTAGAAATAAATCGGGAATACTTTGCGCAAAGGGCCTGCTTCTAAGGCATTTCAGTTTCATTTATTCGCTTATGTAAATATGAAACACGCACTGTATTATGTACAAAAATTAACGGAGCGTTACGAAGCAGCTGCTAAAATAAACGACCCCGAATGACTCCAAATTTAGACACATAGTCTTAAAAAAAAAGCCGTGAAAACAACTCTAGAAAAGAGCGGGGACACATTCAAACATTTTAGTTGCAACCATAATATGCGTCCTCTGGTTGCAGGCCAATAAATCAGGAAGTGGAATACTAATGGGAAAAAACACTTCTCAGGCAATTACAACTGTTGGTTTATTGATAGGATTAACTGCAAATTATACAAGAGAATTTCCTTATTCCTTGGTGCAAGGACAGTTCAGCAGAAAACGATGTTTAGAAAAGTCGCATTTGGCTAGACCTTGGGAGTTTACGCACTGATCAATCCAAATATATGATGAAATACAGCGGTTACTATTTGAATTTGTCATTAACAAGATGTCCTGAAGTTAATGTGGGAATCGAGCATTCGAAGAGTCCATGAAATAAATATGAAGTCTTATTAAGAGAAGAATCCAAACTCGCTAGTGACCAAATCCGAACCCGCTGATTCCGTTTTTCGACGTACATCTGCAGCTTCAGCCTAGTTTTCACAAATTTAAAATTGACAATTCGTCAATAAACACAATTTACACCAAAGGCTGGCAGAACAATTAAAAATTAAAAAATTGATAAATACAACAATTGAAACCATGACTTGAACGACTAAAAATAAGACTTGCCTAAACCTGGATGGTGTATTTGATTTATCACAATGGCTACTTGAATATCGCATCAACAAATACTCAAGGCAGAACCTACATACTTATTTATCAACAAGAGCGAAGTTGGCGACTTTTTCAATTGTGTTTATTTGCGCCTTAATAATGGACAGAGCTAAAAGAACCAGAAAATCGAGTTAGGAAATTACTATTCAGGTCGCTTCTAAGAAGTTGCCGAAACACTCTGGCCAATCTACCTGATTGCAAATTGGTTGCAAAACAGCCATTTGGGGAAGGTCATCGAAAACAAAACGAAGGCAATTTCGGCTTGATGTTTGTGCGTGAAAAATCCGTCTGATTAACACCATTAGCTGATCGGACGAACCAAAGAGGACACCAGATCGCCCTTTCGGTCGCGGCCACAAGAGAAAGACATTCCGCTATCCGGCACACTGACAGCCACCAGCTATGAAAGGTAAAACAATGTGCCGTTAGCACAACACTTACAATGTACTGAAGAGAGGAAAAAATGTTCAATTATATGGCACGTGAATAAAAAAAACACAGAACATTAAATCTCCGAGCGAACGATTTGAATTGAACTTCGCGCGCGCACGTTCAATTGCGCTATTCAAACTCTTCGACAATCGGCGGACAACTGAAGGGGGCCCAGCTCGGATATGAAAGAACATCGGCAGCAGATATGGGCGTCAGTCTTACCACATATGGGACAAACGTGCCACCATGGTGGGCAGTTTGGTGGCACCGTGGGTTCGGCCGCTGCCTAATGCCCAAGTCTAGTAGGGAC